GCGAAAGTATTTTCAAAAATAATTGAATTACATTTCTAAGTATTTGCACTCTACTCAAGATACTTCACAGTGAAAGCAACTTGAGTAGTATTTTAAAAACTTCATGAAGCAGGTATTTAGTAACTTAAAGGGAAACTGAAGCGGTTCTCTATTTGAGAAAAAACATTTCAATGGCCTTCATTCTACCTCCAGGATCAGGAATATCAAAATTATTTTTTTCAATTTGGTGCACGGAGGCTTCAGAAATTAATTTTTAAAGTACCGCCGAAGCCCCTCCTTCCTGGGGTGTGACGTCACACTAGGAGCTTTCGGAATCTCTGCTCTCGCGCATCTTCAGCGCCTGTCAAAGCTATGCACGCGCACTCTTGCTATTTTCAGAAAGGTCAGAAAGAGACGTCACGACTGGTGTCAGTGCAGGGAAATATACCTGGCAAGCTTGCCGTTGCACGCGCTGCCCACACGAGCGACACGCGCTTGGCGGCCCGAAGATCCTAGTATGACGTAACGACTGGTCGAATGTTTTTTCGCTTTTTCTCGCTTTTAGTTGCATCTTCAGGGAAAGCAAAAGTGATATTCAGATTCACGGGATAAAAATACGCCAGAATTCACCTCTAACTCGTTTTTTTCAAGAAGTGTTTCAGCTTCCCTTTAACTTAAATACTTTTATCGAGTATTTTGTCCAACACTGGTTCGAGCCCCGCCCCTGCCCGTTTCGATCTGGATGAGCATCGTACCGGCGTGCGGTCATGTATCACTACTGCGTGGTGCACGTTAAAGACCCCAGGCTAGCGGTTGTACTGCACTGGCTAAATTGCTCATCTACAGCGAGTGACTCGTCGCAACTTTAAATGGCAGACCAACTACACGCTGTATACGCCTCGCAAGTGGGCTCATTTTCGTCTTCTGCGCACGAGAAAGAAAGTAGCGGTGACATCAGAACGCCGAGCCCTGATTGGCTGATCGCGACCCCCTATCTGAGCGTCGTCTGCTCCTCTGCAACGTCGTCGGCTCGCAACGTTGTCTGCGTCTGTCTTACCTTTCGTGCGACTTCGCCTTTCAGAGAGGGCAGACGAAATAAATCGAGCGGTACGTTGTTTTTGTCTAACAACTAGCAGACGCGCATCAAGGAGGGAAGTCAAAGGACTCACTGGCGACTCCGCGAGGTGTCCCGAGGCGCCGAGGTTTGTTTGGTAAGAACGTTGCAAGCTAAGAACAATCTTTTAGCTCCACCCACAAGCGCATTGCGCCCATCTGAAGTGCCTCCACCGTCGAGAAAGTAGTTCGCTAGCAACGTTGCTTTTTCTTCCTCCAGGAAACGTGTCTTAAACTACTACAATATTTATTTAATTCATTCAGGACATTTAAATAAGTTAGAATACGTTTTTGTCAACGAAAAAGCTGTTTAGTAAAGAAAGAAAGTCATGTACAATGTACCGTCTTCCCAATTCATTTTCTGTCCAAGATACTGTCTAACATACCGTCTTCCAGCTCTCAGCAGTTTCGCTGAGAGCTGGAAGACGGTATGTCTTCCAGCTCTCAGCTGCGCGACAACGTGCAATTTCGAAGCGGGCCTTGCGCCCGCTTCGAAATTTTCGTTGGCGATAGCGTCGCTGGATTCTCACGTTGTCGCGCAAAAACTGCTGCAAACGCAAACCGATACCATTAAGATTTCGTGGCGTAACCTCGGGCACGTAAAACACGGTGCAAAAAAGCAGAATAATTGTCACAAGAAACTAGCGTCGCGTTGCTAAGGCCAGCAGCCATGTTGAGCTTTTTTTTTTTTCAAAAGGATCGCGATTGGTCCACGGAATCGTGACGTCATGAAAACGATTGGCTGGCGTTTCTCGGCGTAGGATTACATTTTCCTCTGAGAGGCATTTCCGGTTTTTTCTTAGCTTGCAACCGACTATAGTGTCCGCAAGTTCCCCCCCCCCCCCCCCCCCCAAATACTTTTTCCCTCCTTTCGTGTGCGGCGAGACCCCTCATTCTTTAACGGCGTCGGCGGGTTGGCGCAGTTAACGTCGTCTGCTTTACGTCTGCTAGTCAAAGCGATGGCTGCTTTACCTTTCCTGTGTCTGTCGGAGATTCACCGCTTTTTCACCGGCGAGAGTCACCGTTGCCTCGGGAAACAAGGAGATAACAAGAAGAAGAAATTGACCTCTTAATCTAAAACTGAGGTCAGCGATCAAAGTATAATACGGGAAGGGTTCACAAGGGTCGCGCGGGCATATTCCATTCAGCACACCAGCCGATCGTGGGCAGACGGTCGCCGAGTCGCGGAGTGCCTGCTAGGCCTAACTGCCGTGCTCGCTTGGTCGCGTTCGGTGGAATCGTGGCCGATGGAGCGTTTCCCGGGTGTTCGTGGATCCAGCGTTCTTGTTCGTCGTGGTCTGTTTCAAGTACTTTTTACTTTTTTCTTGCTGCTTGAAGTCGGAACGCGTGAGAAGCGCACGTAGAAAAATAAACGTCCGTGGGTCGTCGCGACCGCGACGCTGTCGGCCATGCTGATTTGATCGTAAGAAGTGCGTAAGACAGCTTCGGAGCTGTCGTAGGATTTCGTCGTAACCTGCGCAAAACTTACGAAAATTTCGTTTCGTGAATACGAATTTGCTCTTCAGTTATGTCTTACGCACATTTTTGGCGTAAGATGGTTTCGTGAATCTGTCCTCTGCACTTCCGAAAGTCGCAGGAAAGGCAAGACAGACGCAGACGACGTTGCGAGCAGACGACGTTGCAAAGGAGCAGACGACGCTCAGATAGGGGGTCGCGATCAGCCAATCAGGGCTCGGCGTTCTGACGTCACCGCTACCCCCTGCGCAAGAAGCAGACGAACTTGCCCTCCGCATAAATATCCCCACAACACCCCCCCCCCTTCCCCCCCCCCCCCCCCCCCCCCCCCAATCAGTGAGGTGGGCTGGAGCGTGGGCTGGAGCAACACCACAAAAAATTCGGTTATGGGGATACTTATACAGCGTGTAGTTGGTCAGCCATTTAAAGTTGCGACGAGTCACACGCTGTAGATGAGCAATTTAGCCAGTGCAGTACAACCGCTAGCCTGGGGTCTTTAACGTGCACCACGCAGTAGTGATACACGACCGCACGCCGGTACGATGCTCATCCTGATCGAAACGGGCAGGGGTGGAGCTCGAACCCAGATCCCTGGGTTCTGCAGCGCGAGAGCAACACCACGTAGATTGGCTGTATGCTGGAAAGGGGAGCTGTGCTTATTGCCTGGTTGGGTTTTGTGCATGTTTATACACCCTGAACTTAGTCTGCCTCAACGGGCGACGTTAAAGGAGCTGTGCAACGATATTCAATAGACCGATCTCACCAAGCGTTCGGAGCATGCGTGAAGCCGCCATAACTTTAGTTCACGGTAGGCACGCGGCAGTGCTGGAGAAGTCTCGTGCTCGGCACGCGCAGAGCTCCAGCAAGGTAGTGGCACGTGCAAAAAGACTAAGGTTCCCTTAACGCATTGCGGCAGCGGTGGCGTAACCAAACAGGCTGGTGAAATCGGTCTATAATCTATTGGAATGTTTTTCACTTGACACCAGCCATAGCCTCTATACGGAGAAAGCCTGGCACATCGACGACGGGGCCATAGGGCGCGCGGCCGCAGGAAAAAGGAGAGGAGGAGCGCGCCGAACGGTGACCAATATGGTAGCGCAGAGCAGAAAGGGCAGACCTAGACAGCGAGCGCTTGGGTCATGAGCGGCCGCTCCCCGAACCACGCTTGTTTTTGTGTTTTCGTCACCGTCGTTTTCGTACTCCGGGAGAAACGGACGCGGCGATTCGAAAGGGCGCAGGGAGAAACGGGAAAGGATGGACGTTGAGTTTCTCCTCTCCACGATAGCGACAAGAAAAGAGAGAGAGAGAGAAAAAAAAGATTGATTCTGCGTTTAGTCGCTTGCTCTTTTGTGGCGCTAGCAGGCAAGGTTCTCCCCGCTCCCGTTTCTCCGCACCTCCTTTCCCATTTACGGCGGCCGTCTTTTCACGCGACGCGCCAGGCTTTCTCCGTATAGAGGAGGCTATGCACGAGCTTACTGGCACACCTGGGACTCAATTATACTCACACGCAACGCCACTGGCCAAGAAACTCCCTTGTTGCGGTGTAATTTCAAGGACAAAAGCGATCATTTTCATTCAATCTCTTCTTTGCAAAATTGGATGACGTAACGTGGGGATCGCAGTACACCCAAGTGACGATATTTGAATGCGGTTCATAGATTGGACCCGAGCATTGCTTGGGCACTCGACTTGGGCTCGTGATAATTGCTAGCTCGAGAAGCATTCGGGTAGTGACCCGTGTCCAATCGCTGCAACGACGACAACAGCCGAGCCATAACGATGTCTGGAACTCAGCGCGTGTCCTGCACTTTGCCAAACCCAGCGCGTGGCTATGATCAACACTAGCGGCATATAATCGGCTCCAGATTACGTGGCTGCTTGTTCTGGCTGTGAGTTGAGGGGGTGAACGCTGTTCGTTTTTCTTTAATTTTTTTCTGGAACTTCTATTGCGTGGGGTGAAAAACGAACGCGTGTTTCATAGGTCATTAATTTTAGGGATCCATTTTAAGCGGTATTTGCGCAAAGTACAAAAATTGTTGCATCGCTCCTTTAAGGCCTGTTTACACATGCAGCGGAGCGCTACAAGCGTAGCGCTGACCTCGCGCTACGCTACGCGCTATACGTGCCGACGGGAGCGTTCACCAGCTTTGTATCGCACCGTCAAAACTGTTGCTCATGGCAAACGACAAGTAGCTGACGGCACGTGAGCAGCGCTACATCAGCGCTTTGCTGCATGTGAGAACCGTGGCGTTTAGTTGTCTTTATTGCTCTCACACTTCCCTGTTCCAACACCGAAATGAAGAAAAAGAAAAAAAAAAAAAAGACTCGATATTTCTGCATTATTGCTTTAGTTAAAATTTTAATTACGAAAGAAAGATTTGCTCCAAGGTTCCTTGAGAAATATCCTCGCCTCTTGGACCATCCGGCAAACATTTTTATCATTGAAACGTCAGGCGGATCTGAAAAAGACCGACCTATGACTGGGCGAGCTCACGCGATCCGCGCGACCCGCGCTCCAGCGTTCGGCAGTCATAACGCGCACGCTGTGCAAGCCGGTGACACGTCTGTTCTTTGGGTCCCGGAGCAAGAATGGCAGTGCGCCTTGTGCTGGCTGGCCTAGGCCTCGCCCTGGTTGGGGCCATGGAGTTCCCGGAGGACCGGTACCGGGTCAACGACGGGCTGCGGGCCCCTTACGACGTCGACCGCCAGCGGGCCCTCGAGCCCCTTGCAGCATTCAACCGGGCACCTCCGCAGCACCTCGCACCACAAGCCCCTAACAGCTCCGCGTTCGAACACGCATCGGCCAAGAACCAGGCTCCCGCCGTCTCAGTCAACAACGTAGCGGTAGGTACGGCGGCGAACCTTACGGCTGCGGCAGGCGCCCACGGGCTACAGAACTTGGCAGGAGCACCGAACAAGGCTTTTTTCGAACACGGCCCGGACAACGCAGTGTACCCCATGGGACCTACCGGAGGCGACGAGGCCTCCAAGCAGCTCGTTGAACAAGACCTGGGCAGGCTACAGCGGAGGAAGTTCCGACTCAGGCACCGCAAGGGCCTCAAGGAACGTAAGGCACGTAAGTTCCAGAGGCTGCTCGAAGACGACTCGCCCCGAATCCCCTCCCATCTCGTCGGGCCCAATGTACCTGGAGGACAACGCGGATTTGAGGGTCCCACTGGCCTAGGTGAAGCCGCAAACTCAGGCATGCCCAGGCCGTCCGGTGAAGCGGCGAGTCGCGCCGAAGTACTTGCGGGACTCAAGGTCGAGTATGCGAGGGCATACATCGCCGCCGAAGAGCCTGACAACGACTCTGGTCCCATGGAACTACTCTGCACGGTGGGCTTCAAGGAATACGCCAGCATCACGTGGACGGTGAACGGTCGCCCGCTGGAAAACTTCATTGACAGGTCGTCCCTGACCACCATAAAGAACGAAGTTCCGGTCAAGGTGTCGAAGATCACCATAAACCAACTCGAGCGACTGCCGTCGGACAACGGCAAGTTCATCTTCGAGTGCACGGCACTGGTCGACGCCCAGGTGACAAAGGCAACGATCGCACTCGGCTCAATCATCGAAGACACCTGCACAACCAACGGTCAGTGCGAGGCTCGTGGCGCTTCATGCAGCGAGGGACGTTGTCTCTGCAAGGCGTCACAACCGGTCAGCCTAAAGTCGAAGCACCTGACGTGCCGCGCCGCAGCCAACCTAGGCTGGCCCTGCGACTACAGCGAACAGTGCACCTTCGTGCAGCCCAACTCGGTCTGCTCGGACAGTTTGGTTTGCATCTGCTCTCTGGGCTTTGTCAGGTCCCTGGACGGCAAGATCTGTGACAAGCTGACTCCGGGTAACCTGATCGGCTCGGCGTGCAAGGAGAACGCCGACTGCCACAGCGCTGGGGCTTCCTGCGCCAACAGCGTTTGCAAGTGCACCAACAATACGGTAGAGCGGGGAGGGTTGTGTCTTCCTCTGGCACATCTTAAGCTTGGGTTGGAAACTCTACGCGGGACAAACTTCCTCGGGGCAGAGGACAGCATCAAGTCTATACACAACGATACAAGGTTCACCGTAGCAGCGGCCATGATTAACGACGCCAGCGACAAGACGACCGCCAGCACTGCGCTATCGCCTCCGCCGCAAAGCGGCGCAGGTGATTCGACGCCCACATCTTACCTGGCTCTTTTGTCTAGCACATTGACCATGATCATACTTGCCCGCGGACCGTAGGGACCTCCGACAGTTGTAGCCCATGCGTGTTGAGCAATAAAGGCTTTATCGCCTATGGCACTGCTTGCCCTAAAGCTCCTTGATGTGTTTCTCTTGCAAGTGCATCAAGTGCACCAATCCACGCGGCCAGTGCATCGTGCTGCCCTTGGAAGCAAGGGGTGGCACAGCACTGAAATGAGCGGCCCTTGAAAGCGAATGGCGGTACAGAACTCGCTCGAGGCATGTCTCTCGCGATTTTGCACAACAATAATTGTTAGTACTTAAAAAAAAAAAGAAGAAAGAAAACGAGAAGCATTAAATTTATTTAAAAGAAGCCTCAGCTTTACCCGATTCCCTGAAATCCTCTCCACAGACCACAAGGCTCAATGAGGATGGCCTCTTCGAACTACCAGAAATGCATGTCTTTTTTGACGAAAAGGCAAACAGCGCACAGTAAACGGGGACTAAAAGAAGTGCACACAGGACAAGCGCTGACTCTCAACTGAAATTTCAGTTGAGAGTCAGCGCTTGTCCTGTTTGCACTTCCTTTAGTCCCCGTTTACTGTGCGCTGTTTGCCTTTTCGTCAGTATGAACCAACTAACCCACATCGCCACCCTTATGTTTCTTTTATTCTCCCGAAGGGGGTTAAGCTAGACTTCGGCAAGAATCTCTCCGATGCCACATAACGGGGAGGGGAGATTCCTTTTACTCCGCCCCGGCGAGCTTTTCCCTTCTCCTCTAACATTTCCGAGCCCCCCCCCCCCCTCCCCTCCGGGTCGGCGGCGAGTTCCCCAGCGTAGCTCCGATTTGCCCCTACGCTCCACAGTGAAGGGTTTAATTAGATTTAAATCGTAAATGACATATAAAAATTGGTAACAGCATGGATGCTAATTATAAAGATAAAGCTTGGATAAGGGCTAATTGGTTAGACACTGGGATGGTTTGCCGCGCTGCGTAGATGCAAGGAAAACGCACTCGATAAAATTTAAACTAGAACAGAGGATAGAAGAAAACATTATACATGAATGACGCAGACTAACAACTGTGTAATTTGTTCCTCATCTTTCTATCCCCACACCGCCACAAAGCCGCTATAATTTTTTTTCTTAAATACGGTGTGGGGGGAGAAAGATGAGAAAGAAATTACACAGTTGTTAGTCTGCGCCACAGTGGAAAAAACACCGTCGTCTTCCACCGTGGTCTGCGCCATTCATGTGTGTTGTTTTTCTTTTAACCTTTAGGGAGATCGGTGGCCGTGTGGGCTAACGCACACTAGCTCGAAGCACGTGGAGCGAAAGCTCGTGCTGCAGAACCCAGGGACCCCCACCCCTGCCTGTTTCGATCTGGATGAGCATCGTACCGGCATGCGGTCACTAATCATTTGAAACGGAGAGTGTCAAAATGGCCGAATCGAGATTTGTCCATTTTTGCAAGAGCGACTGCATGCAATATTTTTCTTATTGCTAGGATTATGTATGTATTGCAAATTCTGGATTGTGCCAGGAAGAACGTGCAAAAAATTCATAGAATTTGTGCTTTATTTGTTTGGAAGTCCGAATCTGAACTGATGAGGCGAGACAACCTCTTCCGGCGTATTTCCGTTGGTGGGATTGGCTTACCACATTTGTATGTTCGACAACTTGTGTCGAGGTTTTTCTTCCTCCGAGATCAGGAACAGCCATTTCTTCGTACAATGATTCAGACAAAATTGGCTTGTCACTTCCCATCATTTTTGGTTTCATCCGAGAATTCAAAACCTATGGTCACCGTAGGTTTTCTGAAAGAGGTCGTCGACTCTTTTAATTTTCTATCTGCACGATTTTCACGGGAGTACCTTTCCAGTGTCAACAGAAAAGACCTTACACGGGCACTCTTGGACACACTTTTTCCAGTATCTGTCTATCACGCCTTGTTCGCAGACGGCCCAGGCCAGGATGTACTATGTCGAGTCAAAAAGATGTATATCCCTCCTGCAGTAAAAACTTTCTTTTTTAAACTACACACCGGAGCACTACCTGTAAACGTATGGATGAAACAAAGAGGGATGTTTGTTCTATGGTCGGTTGACTGTTTATTGTGTAAACAACCAGAAAGTGTTGAGCATGTTTTCATTGATTGTTGGGACGCCGTACTGTTTTGGGACATCTTAAAGCGGACATTGAAAAAAAGGTCTGATTATCACACACTATTACATTCGTTTTCTTCCAGTTGACAAACATGAGTTGGTCCCTTACGACTTATTTGTGCTTCTGGGGCTTTTCAGTATTTGGAAATCCCGCATGGCTGTTAGACACGCGGACATAAACGCCCACACCGTGGATGTATATTTCATTGAACTTGTCACGCAGATGAAGAGTATTTATGCCCCCGCCGAAGGGGCCCCCCGAGCGTGCACCTTTACTAGACACTTTCATTCAAATGAAGCAGCTGTAATAACATTGTAATGAAACCTTTCTAAAAGTAATTCTTCAATCGGTCACATATGTGCTATAGTTGTTAAAGATCACTGTTTGGGACTTTTCTGAAATGACTTTTTGTAAGTGTCAGTGACATGTTCGTGATGAACTTTACAAGCCAACGACGCTGATGTGCATTCTTTATGTACTGATTGGAATGAGTGAGAACTGCGTGTAAGTCTACCATGTATCATACCTCACGTGTTTCATACTTCACCATTCGTGTTAGGATGTTGTAAATAGTGTGGTGAATGCTTTGTGTACTTGAACATTTTCAAATATTACGGCAAACCAAAATTAAACTGTTTAAAAAAAAAAAAAAAGGATCGGTGGCCGAGTGGGCTCAAGCGCACACACAGCTCGACGCGCGTGGAGCGAAAGCTCGCGCTGCAGAACCCAGGGATCCTGGGTTCGAGCCCCACCCCTGCCCGTTTCGATCTGGATGAGCATCGTACCGGCGTGCGGTCGTGTATCACTACTGCGTGATGCACGTTAAAGACCCCAGGCTAGCGGCTCTACCGCACTGGCTAGATTGCTCATCTACAGTGGGTAACAATGTCGCCATGTTCTGGCAGACTAAACTCCTGCTGTATAAAATACTAACGACTAATTTGGTTTTGTTTCACCTCGTGCTGTACTGCAGGAAAGGCTACAAGCGCGAGCTCCTTGCTCAAAAGCACATCTCGACGGCACAAGCTCTCGTGCACCAAGGGCACCTGCCAACGCTATGAGCTCGCGCTTCCAGCCTTCGCTCCGGTACAACATAATTGGTGAAACGGAGTATTAGCCCCGAGAAATTAGCGTGGCGGCCCCTTACGGCGAACACGGGTGACGTCGCGGCGAGGATAGGATTTTTCTTTGACTCGCCTTGCTCGCACTGTGGAGGCTGTTACGATGTCAGCTGTCGGTGCGCTCGTTTTTAATTCGATTTCGTTTGTGCGCGTTTCTTGTATGAAGTGTATATTTGCATACGTGGATTTATTGAGGTATGGCCTGTAGCTGCAGGCGAAAATTCAATCAACATTTCAGGCATGGTTGACAGGGCAAGCAACGATGAATCGCAGCTGGTATATGAAAAAGAAGAAATACGGACACAATAGCAGGAGCATAACAATAGATTTACATCTCATGCAATCATTAGAGAGTTTTAGTAGATCGTTCCCATGACTCCGATAACGATACCCGATAATCCGTCACCGCCTCCCTTGCGCATGAATAGTATCGTTATCGGGGCTATCGGAGGTATCGGAACGATCCACTAAAACTCTCTAATGCTGCTGATGGTCTGAATGAATCGGCAGATTATGTATACTATTTCGTGTTTTTATTTTGTATCTCTGTTTTTAAACAAAAACACCGAAGCAGAAAAACTGCATGCTGCTCGAGCAGCATGTTAAATATAGTCTGGGCCATGGAGAGAGAATCACAGGTGAAACAGCCCAAGTACAAGGACAAAGTAAAGAAATAAGGAACACTGGCATATAGTACCAGTTATTTGTTTACGTCCGTTTATTGTGCTCGCATTTGGCCATTGCTGGATTCGTATAGTATTTCAATGGACTCCACTGATGGTATCTGTGTATTTGTTAATATCACTCAAATAATGTACAAAAAACGTAAGTGAAGGTGTCTAGCGCGTTATTAGTCCCTTCTCGACAATTTACGTTTTACAGGCTTTAAAAGTGAGATTTCAGCTAAATCAAATCGTCATGAAGCTAAAATACCTTAAGCTTTTCTCACGTAAACTGTCACTCTTCACTGGTTCCACATTTTTTTCTGCTACTGGTGCCGCATCTTACTACAATTATAACAGACTCCCAAACAGCGTGCCGAGCCTACCGGACGGGCTATGTATCTAAATCGGCGCACGTTCTACTCACGAAGCACCAAGATAAGCTCTCACCGGTCAAATTGGTCTGGACCCCTGGACACAAGTCTGTACCCGGCAACCAGCGCGCCCACGCTGTCGCTCGAGCAAATACCTTCCGAGCACCGGACTGCAGGCAAACAGAAGAGAGCAAGAGCGACGGACACCCACTGACCCAGTACGCGGAAATCACAGAGTACTATCGCCTAGAACGCCGAAAGCTCCCCCCGCCGCACAAGGAGCTCACACGAGAGGAGGCTGTTGTCTGGCGGCAACTACAAACCAACACATATCGACACCTAAGTCTACTTCACCGATGGTACCCCGAACAATACAACAAAGAATGCCCATTCTGCGGCACGTACGCCAACCTATACCACACTGTATGGGCATGCCAACGAAACCCCGCGATTCCCCCTATCCCACACCCCACCCCTTCCCAATGGGAAGCCGTGCTGCTCAGCTCCAGCCTGGATGACCAGCGTAAGCTGGTGGACCGGGCCCGCTCGGCGGCTAAGGCCACAGGAGCCCTGGACTAAGGGCCCCTCCCCCCCCCCCCCCCCCCCCCCTTCAGAAAACTGAATTAATAAAGTTTATTCTCTCTCTCTCACGGGACAGCCGTTTCGAATGCTTGCTGTTCCTCCTGTTTACCCCTGTTGTCAGAAAGTCCAGCTGAGGAAGGTTTGGGGGACCTGCAGCAGTGTATCTTTTACTTGAAGTGACAATTCAAACTTAACGGAGTATTTTCCGA